TTTAAACATTAAGTTACATAAAACCCAATGGCTTATACAGTTTGAAGCTTCACATCTGCATCGAGTCATCATCAATCTCAGTACAAATGTTTACATAGACACAAACTTTATGGCCTTCCATTTTACATGTTTGTGAATTGACATTTCATTAAGCATCAAAACACACACAACCTTCTTGCCATCTTTCTTTGGATCATGAACTTTAACTTCAAAGCATTCAAGGCATCCTTAGTGAATCCATTGTCTCCATCCATAGAATTTGACCACAATCAATAACATCTTCCAGTCATCTTTACTCCTTGATCTTCCCTGCATGTTGTCAGCAAATAGAACATAACAAGCTCTGCTCCAAATCATGGGTACCGTTGGGCTGATCATTTCTTTTGATACCAGATCACATTTTGATACAGAGCAAAATGTGTTTTTGTTTTTGGAAACTATTTTGCAAATAGATGGGTAAATTTACGATTTCATGCATTAACAAATGACAGAAAAGTATACAGAATTTTATAAGAATTGTACAAGTATACAGAGTTTTATAAACAGGAAAACATCAGTATATTTGGCGTTCAAGTCAGTCTTAAAAAATACGATCTTTAATATGTATTTTATGGCTTTTCAAGTGCATGTATAATTGCTTTTCAATCGTTGACGGACTAACAAAACAAGCAACTATCTCACCTGTGAGAAGCGATATGTTCCTTTTTGTGGAAACTACGACATCCAACAATTGAACGATTAAAGTGTTGGCATTATAAAAGAAATGCCAAAAAAAATATCGTCACAGAATATGGAACTAACGATATCCATATACTGTGATATCGTGTTTGTTTTTGAAAAATTCTTTATAATTTACTATAGACACCAGGGGGAGGTCGAGAATATTATTTTTCTGCAAAGCGATCATTTCAGCGGAAATACGTCCGTTGGCCGCCATGTTTTTTACAACAGTTCCCAGTCCACTTAGCCGCTCCAGTTATTATAGAACTCAATGGTTTGAAGCCACATAGAAGCTGATTTGCCGCTTCGCGTGTATCTCGCGTGGACTGTTTTATTTGCGTGACGGATTGTTTTGCAAAAACTGCTAACTTGGGAATAGAATGCTAGCCTAAATGCTTTATTTTTTTCAAAACCGTTAGCAAAATTTGCTTATTAATGTGTTAAGATGCATTGTGGACGTTCCAAGACATGTTTTGTATACGTAACGCTGTATTATATAAAACATAAAAGGGAGAACTTGCTTCGAAATATGAATTTCTCATTTGTCGTCGAAAGACCAAAAATTTAAGATAAAACTGATAACAGCAGGGGCGGATCTAGAGTATGTCAAATCCGTCGCGCGACTGATGTTTGAAATTCAAAAATTACCTATTCATATTAATTAAAAATTATTCTTACATTATTATCGCATTTACTTCGTGAAAATCCAGCTTCATGTATTATTGAAAACTAATGACTAATGCAACGAATATTCCTTGGTAAACCAGATCAGTTGAATTTTAATTGACCTGGAATAACCGACTGATAAGCGGGTGAAGACTGGTTCGACTTATAAAGGAGTCTATGAACGCCAGAAACGCTATTTTATTGGTCAATGGCCAGATCAGTGGATAGTCTGGAATAATCTCGACCGATAATAGGGTGGCCGGACCTATAAGGGAGTCCAATTGCTAACTTACAATTGGTTCATTTGAATTTTGTCTTACTGTGATTGGTTTGACCGATTTCGACTGAAAGCCAACTGAACTAACATAGTCAAGCTCACTGTCTTGAATGTTTGATGGTTTCATAGTAATTTTTATAAGCATGATAGAAACTAAACTACAATCAGATGGAATTTATGGAAATCTTTTTACAAATTCGTATGTTGACATGAATGCTGCTTTCAAACGGAATTTTCAAGAGGGTGAAAAATTTATGGATGAATTGTAAATGCTTGGCAAAGACGATCTCGCGAGCGACATTTCAGTCATTGATGTTCAAAAGCAAGCCAACATTGTTTTGAGTTTTATCAGCAGAAATTTACATCGAAAATCGTAAGTAAAGGACAAGTGAAGTGTATGCCTGAATGCAATATATCAAAGTCAATTTATGCGAGTGTGTGATGCGATTTATGTTAATATGGCGTATGGTACAGATTGATGCTTCTAAAATTGTTGTTGCCGAAGGACTTTAGCTATGATTTCTTTAATGCTTGGGGAATCGTGGCCGTTATATGGCAGCGAAATCCTACATTTCTGCAAATATATTTCAATGGAAAAATCTGTAGCCATAAGGTGCCATACTATTATTTACTTATCATAAACAAATGTTTGGGCTTTTCAGTTCATGATCATTCATCATTCAATCATTGACAGTTATACTATATTGTTTAAGATTTGAGAAAACTAACATTGATTACATGAGAAGCTGTTTACTATAATCTGTGATTTTGAGTCTTATGATCCATGAAGCTTTTATTTTGACAATTTGACTGAATGGTATTAAACCTGAGTATTTCATATACATTAAATGTTGTCCCATGTCACATATTGTCCCTTTTCTAATTGAACACCTCATGTAGAGATGTAAAGGTGTGTTAATCTACGGCTCATACCAGATTGTTTGCCATAAATCCAAAGGGCTATTGATGTATGAAAAGCATTTTCTATAAAGTAAAATGTCTTCCAATGTATGCAGATAAACCTTTTAAAAAATTATTTTTCATGATCATAGGTAATTTTTTCTGATGATCAGTATAATTTCTAAACTAAATGATTTAACTTAAACGAGCTTTGATCATATGAAAATATTTATCATAACCAGTAAGCATGACACATGAACATTCATTCTTGTAATTATATAATTAAAGACATGTTGGTTAATTCCTGATACAATGCTACTAGTGATTGCTATATAGCACACCTTGTATCACAAATTAGATATAGTCTAGTGATTGAACATTCATGGCATGTAAATTTTTCACTTTGATAATTTTCTTCTTTGACAGAAAAAATTTTGAGTTTTTCTCAAAAGTGGATTGCTGGCTCTGATGTGGAGATGGGTAAAGGGTTACAATAAACTTGCATGGTTTGAAGTCTGAGCTTATGTTATGAACTGTCACTTCAGTACCAAATTTCTAACTTAACTTATACATAGAGAGGTTTGAATGGGGGTCTCTAGGGGGTCCTATGCCTGACAACTTAGAAATTTTAAAGAATATCTGTTTTTGATAGCATTATTGTAAATAAATTTTACGTTCCTAGACATGCTAATGAGCCATATATTTGGCATGATATGAGCCTAAATATTTGGCAAAACATTCGTATTGTTCACTTCATTTTTTTGAAAAAAACGTAAGCAAAATGTGTTGTTTTACGAAAAACGATGCCCACAAAATACATCTTGTATTGCTCTAAAAACGCTGAAAATGGCATTTTAGAGGTTCTGAATTCAAAAATTCTCAGGGAGAATGCCTCAGACCCCGGTCGCCTCCGACGTTTATGACTGATGTTTGAAAAATCCTAGATCCGCCCTGGATAACAGGTAAGTGCGTAAATCTTAAATGGTGCACACAATCCACTTAATATAACATGTTTCATAACAATTTTATTGCTTTCAAAGTTAGATTGCTTTGTAAGAATTTCACCATGCTTTTTGTAATGTGTGAAAGTGATTTGAAATTATTGAATTGTGATTCTTCATTTACTTCTCCCACTTCTTAAGAACTGGTGGAAGATTTGACATGCATTCATTTGTCTATTGAGCATTTTATCAGCAAGTTCATGCTATGAAAAGCCAAGTGTGACACATAAAGCGATAACCTGCTCTACATAAATGCTAAGAAGCAACCCTCATATCAGTGGTTTGAAACAGGCTTTGAAATAAATTGTAAAACAAAGTATAAATTTTATGGTATATATCATAGATTGTAAAATTAGTTTTCTTGTAATACAGATGATGATAAATGTAACCTCTATATAAATATTAGGATTTGTGTTTAAAATGTTTGGTCATATTTGTGAAATATATGATAGTATAATATTAGACTATTAATCTTTTTCATGTAGTACATTACAATTTTTACTTAAGTGTTTCAAAAAGTTAGTGAATATGGATTGTCAATTGTTTTTTCTGCTTTTCGGCGTATTGACCCTTTGTCTCTTTAATGGTGCAGCATTAATAACACAATGGCATGACAGTTTTTTTTAACAAGACTCAAAATATTTTTGCTAACTTTTGAAATATTTTGCAAAGTGTTTTTCTTTTTGTTTATGCTCTGAACTCAAAAGGACTGGGACGAATAATTTTGCTCAGAAACACTAAAATTACCGAAAAACAGCGTTTTGCCCTGACAGCTTCATTTTCACAGATTCAAACAATATTATAAGGCTAGGCAAGTGCATTTACATCCTTTTAGAAAAAAACGAGTGTCAGTTTGTATTCAGGTTATAAGGCATGTTTTCACGTGCCAAAACAAAGTTCGCTTTTCATCCTTCTAAAAGAAGCGGCAATGTACAAATGTCGTTCAAACTTGTTTTATATTAAAGTCCAAACACCGTTTAAGGTTTTGAACATTAAGCTGGCTTGAAGACCACTGTTTTGCAAAATCCGACAATTTCGAAGTGATGTATTTCGCCTCCATTACCTTCAATGGCGGCTAGGGCAGGCTTCAAAGATGGCGTCAAGTTAGCCTTCCAGTTGTTGTAGGTTCACTGTCAGGTCTTATAGAACTCAATGAGGGGCAGATACGCAGCACGTTTCCACTTCTGTGCGTCTGCGGCACGTGCTGCAAGGTCTGACTCAGTGGTCTCATTTAAAAATACTTTAAAGGAAAAGAGTGAATAAAAGTTATGAAACCAGTTCTGCATACGCATTTGCACCAGGCGTACGGGCACATATTTTAGGGGAGCTGGACTAAATTTGCCCGAATTATATGACGTCATATGACGTATGACGTCATAGATATTCTTATGTTCTCTGGCCATCTCAATTAATAAGCTAAAATCATTACAATTTGCTAAGAGGATGCTACGAAAGTAACTACATTTTATTTGATATTTGAAATTTTGTCATATATAACACTAGACGCAGAAGAAATTTAGTTAGTTAAATGTGCGACGATCTAAGACTAAAAGAAATAAGATTTACGATTACGTCGCTGTCCAAAATGTTAATTATCTTTTCCATGTCGTTCTTTAAAGTACTATTTGCATAGGCTCTTTCCACATTGATTAGGGCAATGCTGTTTAACCGTTTTTGACCAATTGTACTTCGAAGATAGGTTTTTAAGCGACGAAGAGCGCTAAAAGATCTTTCTGCTGAGCAGGATGTTGCCGGGATCGCGGCCAGAATCGAAAATACTTTGTAAGCCACAGGCAGGACTTCATGAACACCATTTTCGAACATTCTCTTAACAATTTTGGCAGCGTTTTCTCTCTCAGCACAAGGGAAATCAACGTCAATATTCTCAAAGACATTTTTCTCGCTACTAAGAAGCTCACTGTCGATACCATAGAAGTGTGATACCAACTCAACATTCGCCGTGGTTGGAGACCTGTTGAACACAATATCTGCAAGTGCCAATAGGACCTCTTGATCACTACCTTCAAATCTTGATTTCATCTCCGCCACAATCTTGTCAATGCTTAGGTAGTAGCATGTGATACGATAGTAATCTTTTCTGTTCGATTTTCCACTTCTGCATTTACTTCCAGCCATTTCACCGACGAGGCTTGGAGCCGCCGTGACGGCTGTTGGAATCTTGGTACTTTTGCATCTTTGAAATTGAATTCTGTACCTTCAATTTGCTCCTTAATTTTGTGTGCTATGATTTCAGCCCGTGACCATAACAGTTCGAAATTTTCGAGGGAACGACATCCAATTAATGTCTTAATCACGCCATCAACACTCTTCTTTGCTGTGGCGACATCCATTTGCTTTCCTTGTAGGTACCTGCTCAAACCATCGGTGTTAGATAAAATAACCTTTAATACCATCAAACCAAAAACGAACCGAAAGTCGCAAATCGAGTTAAGTAGCGAATTGCTGTCATTGTAGGTCTTCGGATCGCGATCTTTGAGAGTGTAAGGAGAACCTCGATGATCTTAGGTAATTGGTTTACTACTGCTTTTACAGCTGCCCAACGACAAGACCATCTAGTAGCACTCTGCGATTTAATAGTCAGTGTAATATCTTCGTCCTCATCTTCGACCTTGATGTCATTGAAGATGGAGTGGCGTTGGGACTTCCTTCCAAGAAATTATGGAGACTCTGGATCACACCTAAAGCTTTCTGAAGTGGCTCAATTGTAGTCATCGTATCTTGTAGCGCCAAGTTAAGCCGATGCCCATGGCAGTGAACATAGATGCTAAGAGGTGAGCACTCCTTCATGCGTGCAGCAAGTCCTTTGCGAGGGCCACTCATATTTGCAGCGCCATCAAAGCATTCTGCGACAATGTTTTCCAATGTCAACTCTAGCCTGCCAATGGCTGTCTTTAACAGCTCATACAATACTTCTCCTTCCGTAGATTTGGTTGAATAGAAACCAGTGAATGTCTCTTTGGTTTCGCCATTGAAAACATATCTGAGGAAAGAGATAATTGCTCTGTTCGACTGATGTCTGCCGTTTCATCGACAACTATTCCGTAGTAGTCGCTACTTCTTGCTTCTTCTGCTATCCTCTCAAGCATGACACTTGCTACTATTTCCAGTAGTTCATTTTGAATAGCAGGGATGTCCACTGAGCATGTGTCTGCAGCTGGCTTTGAAGTTTAGATTTCAGCCAAGGCAAATCGTTGCATCTTATGCAAAGTAACTCGAGAAAGTTTCCTCTATTTATATCAGATATCTCCCATATATCACCCCGAATCTCTTCATGACCTCTAATTGCAACATTTTGTTGTGCAGTGTACATCAAAGATTGTATGATTACTTTTAAGTATTGTCTGTTAATAGCAACCTGGTCCTGGTGTGCACTATTCAGCTGTTGTAGTACGGAGGTTTTCTTTCTCCATTGCTTTAAACTGGAGCCATCTTGTCATGGATCTGACGTGGTTCTCACTCTTGCCATGTTTTGCCAGCTTTGACGACTTCTTCCAATTTGTAGCACAAATGAAGTATTCTTCCCAAATTCTTTACAGGCAAAACAAACGCATGCATCTTTATCCACTTCGTAACTAATCCATGGATATTTCTTGTACCATTCAGGCTGAAATCGTCGCACAAATGTTTCACTGCCGAATTTTCGTGCAGGATATTCACCTAATATAGGCTGTTTTGGGGCGTGCAAGGTGGAAATCTCTTCTTCATTCATACTGTTAAGGGAACCTTTCTAGTCTGTTCATTTAGAACAGATGCTGTTGAATCTAAATCTTGTATTGCTGTTGTGTCTAGAGTGTTAGACGTCGTCGTTGATTCTGGTGTTGCAACGCGTTGTATATTTTGATTTAAGTTAAATTCTTCGATGAACAGTGCGTCACTGGAAGTAAGATTTTCATTATCCGTGACCGTATTCAATTCTTTATTTTCTCTGAACTGCGTCAGTGGATTTAATTCATCAACATCAATAAACGTTCTCATTGGTTCCGTTTGGTCTTCGCTTATGGGCTCCTTCAAATTAATCTCAGGTAGATTTTCCTCAAAAGACCCAGTGGCTGCTAAATCTTTACTAGCACTCGATTCTGTTTCCTGTAAGGTTAGGTTATCATCCTTGGTTGTCATGTTACTTTTTACAAAGAAACCACTGATCTTTGACTGCGATAAATCCGATGAATCCATCACTCGATGACACTTAACTTTTTCATTATTGTGAACTCGTCGAAAGTGGACCTCCTTATAATCACTGTCAATTTCCTTGCTGCATTCCTCGCACCAAACGCGATGTCGATACGGTCGTTTACGAGACGCCATATGTACGCTTTATTAGAGCTTGGCTACTAAATGTTTTCCCCTTGTGGATAATAGTTTCCTTGAACAACAATCATAGAGTGAATGGCACTAATCTAATCAATGGAATGGACAGTGCCTCTCCATACGAAGCCTAATTTTCATGCAAAATTAAAATCACTTTTGGGGATCGCAGCGATTGTTAATCTATATATTAATGTATAACGGATAGCGTGTGGGGAGACGATTTTTCGCAATTTCAAGACATTTCAAGACTTTTACTGACCTCAGCCCTTTTTTATAAATGGAGAACGTTATGTGGATAAATTTAATACCAAAAGCTTTGCTCTGATTGAAAATATCGGCGTTCGTGTTCGTTTAAAAGTTGTAAACACCGAATATATTCGTCGCAATATCGCTAGTAAATAGACCGATTTCTCGTGACGTAATTTGTTTATATTATAATGGGGCGGATGTAAAATTCTCCTATTATGTCTCAAGAAAAATTTTGCACCCAATCACTTTACGCGATTTTTATTTTACCTCCTGAAATTTAAGTAATTTAAACAATTTAAAACCATCCATTAAAAGACCGTTCACGCTCAAGAACCGAAGCAGTTTATGATCTAGAAATGATGTAGATTAATATTGAAAATTTAAAAACTGTAGTAAGTATCTTGCCAGAATATCATGTAAATGCTTGCCCGAATACACAAATTCTCGAGAAATTGGGGCTGCAGCCCCCCCAGCCCACCCCCCCCGTACGCCTATGCGCATTTGGAATGGCTGTGAAGGTAGTTGATTTATAGAATGCTGATCCCCGATGATGTGTGTTTTCGTGTAATACTTTTCAGCCTTTCTGTAAGATTTTGATGTAAACATTAGCAATCTTGGTTTTACGGACTTTGGACTAGTATTTTAAATTTTGTCGTATCGTGTGATGTATTTACAAGTTGCCAATACATTGCATCAACAATTGTTTTTTCCAATAGCCGTTTTGTCCCAGATTATCAAGTTAAAGTGAATTCACTGAACGTTCAGCTTTGGAAATGCAAACAAGATTTATATAACGATGCCGTGAAACTCATTTTCTTAAAGAGCTCATGATTACCTCAAATTACCATAAACAACGTGATCAAATGACTAAAAACTATTTTGTCACGACCAAAACAAAAGACCAGATGAAAACAAGTAAACATTAGTCTTGGGTATTGTATGTACTGCACATCTTTCTGAAAAGATGATCCGTGCATATATTCCTTAAAAATCCACTTACTAAAAGACTAATTGGCTCCAGTGATCTGATTACATTTGGCACTATAATGCAAATTGTACTAAAACTGTTTTTAGAGTTTGTGCCTCGCAACTTGGAATGTTGCTTCATCAAATTTCGGAGTTTTAAAACAACTGTCGGTTTATCATATTTTGTCCAATTTAAGTCCAATATTTTCTTGTACTAAAACTTTTTTCAAGCTTTTTGGGTTTAGACAATGATTTAGACAGAAAAAATACCCATAGTTACGGCGTTGACTGAAGCATAAAAATGACGTAAATCTCAACAAATTCCAGATTGAATAATCAAAGCTTATTGAACTTCAATTCGGTGCGCAAACTCTTGTCTGAGTGTAACTAGACAATTTGAGAAATTTTATAGTTATGTGTAAACAATCATTAACATACATTCGAGAGCTATTGAGACATAGTATATGTTATTTTCACTGAACTAACATGGTCAGATTTTAAAAAACAACTTAAAACCACCACTGTGTCGTAGCAAATCTTTTTCTGCACGAAGGCTTTTTGCTTTAAAATTAAAAGGTTTAAGGTTCACTGTGATAAATCAATAACCTTATTGTTATTGTGTTTTTGATGTTGTTATATGAAAAAATTCTTGCTGAATATGTTTCTCCTCGAAAATATCTTGCTGTGGCATGAACTAATTCTGTCAGATGCAATTTTAAAACACAAAATGTGAGAAAACCGACACCAAATCATTTTTCACGTTTTCTAACGCCAAGAAGCAAAACAAATATTGGCCGCCGAAAATCACGCATTATTTCAAGGGAAGTTTGACAAATTTTAGATGTATTTTGGCTTCCGTCAATCACGGGACAAAATTATAGGAGTTAGCGTTCCACATATATTTACTTCAACGGGGAAAGAAGTATAAGAGTACAAAGTATATATATTTCATGCTAGCTTCTTTAAATTATAGTAACAATTACCTATTTTTGTCTTTCTATATAGAAAATTTGAAGAGAAGCAATGTTGAGCATTAGGAGACTTCAGTTGGTTGTTTTTTCTTTATTCATCTGTAACCGTCTTGCAAATGGACATCAGTCATGTTCAACTCGACCTATAGCCGGTGAAATCCGAACAAGGAACTGTGGATTGCAAAGAGTTATATCAAAGGATGTAGTGGATATTGTCCATCACATTCTGTCACCAAGAATAAAATGGTCAGATTTCAAAACAACCTGTACATGCTGTCAAGTAAAAAAAAAAAGAAATGAAAGTTGTTTTCCTTTGTGGAGGCAAAGAATCATAC